CACTGAAACTGCTGCATCACCCAGTATTTTACTCTGAAGAGTTTGTGCCTGCATCTCCTGTGCAGTGTCTGGCTAGTGGGCAAAGCTGGGAGCAGCTCAGGAGCTAAGCCTGGCCCTCCTGAGAGCTCCACCTGGGCATTTGCACCTCTGCAAATAAGGACTGAGGCACCTCAGCCACCTGAGTGCTTTCTGACCAAAGAACCTAGTGGCTTCTCTGCCCTCCACTGCGTTAACAGCAATGAAACCATTTAGCTGTCCATGGCTGTGCTCCTACACACTCTGAAGCTGTACACCTGAGAATACCCAGCACCCAGAGAGATCAGGTGCTGCTGAGGTGAGGTGGTGGTGGTGGCAGGAACCTGGGCACTCTGTGCTGCACCTCACTGTGTACCGAAGTACTGCTGAGTGGATGAGGAACTGTAAGACGGGAAAGGTCCCTGACCAAACTCATCTGCCAGTTACCTGGGCATTAGGAGTGACAGCATTGTGTCCATTTAGTTACAGAACTGCACAGCTTAAATGGCTGATTTAGCATCCATGCTGCTGTGTAGTGGGTTATGATGATACCCTGCCGGTATCTGTGCTTTATTGTTAAAGCAGTTCTGGCCAGGCTGTGGTCAGGTGGAGGAATTCCTACTTCGTCACTCAGGGTGAGGTGCTGCATGTCACAAAGAATGGAGGGGTAACTATGGTGACGACAGATGTGCCGGCACCCCAAGGCTTCAGGCTGGAAGTACTGGCATTGATCTGATTTACAGGCAGGGCTAATGAAATGCTTTTTGTAACTGTAGGTGAAAAGAAGCGGAAAATGGGAGGTTTTGAGTTAGAGGAATCTGTGACAGTCTGACATTTCCAGGCTAGAGATGTTTTGAAGCTTAGTGGTATGAAATACGGTCTGAAGAGGAAAGCCTAGAAAGGAGAGCCTGTACCTCTACAGCTGGGCATGGTTGCTTTAGTAGCGAGAGCAGTGAGACAACATGTTGGGCGGTCATGAAGGGCAGCTGTGGGGAGAAGGGGGCTGGCTGGGCTGTTGTAAGCCACCCACCACAGCACCAGTTGCCAGGAGGCTTCTTCAAGGAGCTGAGTGTTGGGGACTTTTGCCTTTTTAATCTGGCAGTACTCTCATGCTGGCTGTACCGCTGGGGAGTACTGCAGTGTGGCACCAGGCCTCCTCTCACTGGCACTGACCCAGAATGTAAGCCCCATGGCTTCCTGTAGCTGTAGTTCATTCTTCCTTGCGCTGGGTGTTGGTGCATGTATTTTGAGGGGAAAAGTCCCATGTTACTGTTTTTAATTAATCCTTTTTATGAAGCTGCAGCTTCATAGATTCATAAATTCTTTTTTAACTCAACCGTAAATCCCTTATCAAGTAAGGAGGGTGAGGGAAGGGAACCCTTCTGCCCTCTAACGCAAAACCAGACAAAGTAGAAAGTTTATTTTTATTTCTGAGGTCATTTACATCTCTTAAATTCCAATGTCAGAATTCCAGTGGCATACGAGGTAGCTCCCCCAGCTCCAGTAGAGTTTGATGTCTTGCTTAAAAGCCACTCATGAAGTGTTCCTGAGGAGGCACAAACAAGAGCTATGCAAGAGCTTCGGAGGGGCACATTAGCCTTTTAGCCAGAGGTTTCCTCCTGGCCCAGGCAGTCGCTTCCCGTTTTGCTGCAGCTCCCACCCTGTACACACTCCCTCCAGTTCCCAGTAAACATGCTTTGGCACAAACCTGCTGCCTCCTTCCTGGAAGGCAGAAGGGGCAGGATCTTAGATGTGCCCCAAAACAAGACCTCAGTTATTTACTGCTAAACATGAGCCATGTCTAAAGCTCATGGAGATCCTGTTAGTCAGAAATCAAGCAGTTCTCCTCCTTGCTACCTGTAAGACTTCTGATCTTCCAAAGCACTAAGGGCAGCAGGCCCACGGGAACCACTGGCTTCAAAACAGCGTTTGTTTACACTGCCCTGCCACAGCCTTACCCATTTCTATATTTCTCTTCTAAGAACTCACCCACAGGCTGAAGGGACACAAATGAGAAACACAAGCAACGCAGTACAGATACTCACACGCCCATCTCTTCCTTTTATCTTTCAGGGCTGCTCTGCACCTGGCTGAAACTGGTCTGAGGCTCACCCAGAGTCACCTCTGCAGAACACAGGCATGCTTGCTGCTCAGTTCAGCTGGTTTCTGTTTGGTTTCAGCTACAGAATCCTAAATATTATTGAGCCTTACCAACCTACCCAGCTTCCTAGGAAGACAGCCGAGGCTGTTCTGAAGACCAGGCTTGCAAGTGTTGGAACAGCAATAACATAGCATGGACCGAATTTGTAATTTGTACAATTTTCTATAAAATGTTTTTATCTATTTTTCTGATTGAATGTAGATGTCTTATTTACAGGCTGAAATACTAATAAACTTAATTGGTTTTTTACCTGTCCTCCTCCTGAATCCAAGGGGAGGTGGGAGAAGGGGACTGACTGCTCATAAGCCCTGCATGAGCCGACTGCATTCCTGTCTATAAACTCATTACCAGAACCTACGTGGAAACTTTATTTTTACAAGGTATTTGTCACTTTTTACATCAGAAGTGAGAGTCCCAACCACTTCTTATCCATCAGAAAAGCCTGAGTAAGAAATACTCCATATAATGTAGAAGCATTTCCATGGGCAGAAGTCACTGGATCAAGCCTTTAAGAGAAAGGCACCCTCATCAGGTAGTACAGATCAGCTGAGGGGGTGACAAGAAACTTTCCCACCAGCAAATATTGAGCAGTTCTCTCAGATGGGCACTAGCTGAACCTGGCTTCAAATTACTGAACTTCAAACATCTGGAGGATCTACATGGAGGGCTTTTTTCTGGTTAACTGCACACCTGTGTTCTGAAAAGTTCCTTTCCAAATACTGGACTGTTTCAGAAATAATTCAGCTAAATCTTCTGCTAATTAGGGCAGGATAAACTACATACATAAGAAAAAAGCTTCTACATCTACTACCTTCAGTGTAGCTGTAGAATTGCTTTAGTAAAGGGGGGAAAAGTGCAAAGATCAGTTTCCCATTAATAAAGCTACCTCAGCCAGCATGAATACATTAGATATAACAAAAATAGGAGTAACAACACGTGCAAGAAGTTACCATTTGCTCTGGGTGGGGGACAATCTTTCCTTGCTTTGTATTTTACGAATTATAAGTGGTAGAACCCTAACATCAAAGTGGGCTTTCCTCCCTACTTCAATTTCCTGCCACATTAAACTGCCAAACACATCTGATTGCCTCCTTGAACTGCTTCCAGTCTGACAACAAACACGCTTAAAATGGCCTCAAGTTTTTAGGACAAGAAAGCCTGCTGGCAATAAGTTCAGTCAAAAACTGGGTTTTTCACAGTAATCAGGCTGACAATTATTTAAGTGTGACTACTTTATGGATGGTTACACAGGTAAGAATATACATTTATAAATGTAGGAATATGCAAACTTATTGTTTAAATCTATTTTTTTATTATTCCACAGCATAAATCTGTGTGTAGATAGGAGAAAGTGCCTGTAAACTACACACGCGAAAGAACTTGGCACCTAGTCCCAACATTTAGGCTTCACCGAGATCCTGGAGCTGCTGTGCCCTGGCCCAAGGCACAGCTGGACCCTCAACCTTTTGGACCTTTTGCACAGCCATACTTCATCTCAATGCATCCTGGGTGGGGAGGTGTTCACACTCATCCCAGGAGTAGGCTCAATCCAGTGCGTTGCTGGGACTCTAGAAGGAATCTATTTCCAGGCAGCAGCTACTCTATTTTGTAGCAATTAATTAGTCATTAAGCACAGGCAGCACCAGATCTACCTGTCTAAAGCTCTCCCCCACCCTTGTCCTTAGGCACAAAATGCTTGGGTTTACAAGTATCAGACCAGGTGACCAAATCCAGGAGATCCCACATCCACAGCCAGAGTGGGATCCTGTGATGTGGCGTGCAGCCTGGCCAGCCAGTCCTGCTGCTGCTGTAGCTGATCACCAGTCGCCTATCCCCACCAAACTGGGTCATGCACTTCCCTATTACAAGGTGGGGGAGAAAACAGAAGGAAAAAAAATCCAAACCCTGAGAGCTGGACAGAGCACCTCTAATTCCAAGGAAGCCTTCCTGCCCGAGACCTGAGCTAAGACCCAGGCGACTGACTGCTCTAGGGACACTCAGCCCTCAGAGCCGGCTGGTACAAATGGTCTTGGGCCAGCTCACGGGCTTCAAAGAGTCCCACTCCGAGGTGCCCTGCAAATCCCACCTGCCCATTTTTAACTCTCCTTACCCTAAGGCATTACTTAGCTCCAGGATGCAAGGCTAGGGATTTCATCAGATGACAAATCACATCAATTGTGGGTGTTCTGGTAGGAACACAGCCCGTCATTCCTTCCAAAGTGCAACCCAAATTTCCTTTTACAAGTGACATGCACCTCATGGAATTAACACAATCCATCTGTATGGGAACAGCCTTGGTCCAAAGCACAGATACATCTTGCTTGGTCATAAAATCTTTTTTTTTTTGACAATACTGTAACTTAATAATGTACAAGCTGAAACTGATCACCCAGCATTTGAAATACGTCACAGCAAGTTACAGTTATCACTAGGACTTCACAGCAAATCAAACTTGTAACTAAACATGCACAGGTCATTATATACACAGTGATAAAAAAATAACGATGTACATTTTCTTGTAAGAAGAAATTAAGTAAATTCTTTGTGCATTTCAGGATTGAAATGTCTAACCTATATAAAATTACTTTAAAATATGAAGTAAATATTTAACCCAAAACTCGAGAAATCTTTTGTAATCTGCAATATAGCCTTCTCATTTCAGTTTTTCTTTCTCTGACACAGAACAACTTAGGAATTTTATCCTCTAAGATATTTAATAGTAATGTGCAGATATAAAAAAATACGTCCTTTGTGGCAAGCTTGAACATATATATATATATATTTACAAACCTCCGGAACAAATTAGCATTAAAAAACACAGAAGTAGCAGATTGACATAGTGCTTTATTTAAGCTGTCTGTACGAAGGAAAATAATGTGCATCCCTATCATATACGTGTAAAAATACTAAGGATGTACAGTGTACAAAAACAGTTTCTTGTAGTTATTTCACATCCTTGTGGGTCATATACTTAAGGAAATAAACAGTTTAAGTATGACCTACAGTAATACGGTTCCTTGGGTTCATAGTCGTGTCTGCTTAATATCCTTAACCATATGACTAGATCTTGCATGGATCTAATGAAAGAACTAGCAAGGTCAAGAAATGTCACAAACTCTAAAGCTACAGGGAGGTAATTCAATTACCAATTTAGAGGTTTTTATTTAAATAAATACTTTACATTTCATGCTTGCCTGTAATGCACTACCAGGAGCAAGATAAGGAAATTCTACTGTAGACAGTACAAACAGTAGCAGCAAAGTGTGTACATTGAGGTGTAATATATAGACCCTGCAGTTAGTAAGGAAAGACCTTACTTTTGTACTCTAGGAGAAGCACATGGCCCCTGCAAGAACAGTCAGCTTGAAGAAGCCGCAAGTAAAGATGGAAAAAGAAAACGGAAACCAACACTGGAATAAATGTTCTTTAAGCGACAGGAATGTACTGGAAGATGGATTAGTGTGGAAAGCGAAGCTGTGTGCAAAACTGCCAAAACCCAAACAGAAATTACCTACTTCCTCCGAGATGGCTGCAGTACAAGGAGGGCACACTCTAGGTCATGGAAGTCAGTACAAGCTGGAGTCAAAGTCTGAAACATACTGTGCTCCAAAGGCTCCCCAAGGTAACTGCCACCACCTCCACCCAAATCCAACACAACAGCAAACAGCAAAAGAAGAGCTTCAAGAGTTTCTTGCGGCACCGCCTTTCTTTCATCCCTTTCTAACACTGGTAAGAGAGAGAATTCCCTAACCCTGGGCAGCATGAAGTGGCCACTGAATCTCTCTCTGTAGCATAAACTTTCTCAATGATGTTCTGGAAGGCAGACAACCCAATGCAAAGTGAAGTCTCCAAAGGGTTTTGAAATAGCTCACTGACAGGTATTTACTGCAAACCGCACTCTACCTCACTATGCAATGGTGCACTAACCATAGGGCTGCTTCTGCACACGAGGAGCGGTTGGCCAGAGGCACGGCACTGGCTGGGCATTAGCTACAGGAGCCCTGTGTCAAGAAACTTATTGCTATTACAAGCTGACAACACAGGGGGAAAAACACAGGCATGTAACAGATTCTGAATCACCATAGTTTCAGTCTGTAAGCACGAGGCCTTTGCAGAAAACTGATTAATGCCCATCTGATTGATAAGTACTCAGTTACTTCAGTCAGTCACTCACTGCATCAGTGCAGACACCTCTATGCCACCAGTGCCAAACAGACCTGCAATGCATGTGCTGTGCTCCTCTCTCTGCAGAGGGATAATCTAATCCCTAGGCATGTTTAGTGTTACAAGGTGACAGGAGGAGATCTTATGTAGTTAGAATATACATCATGATATATTTCTGACTGATTATCCATCCATTACTAAAGAGAAAACACAAAACATGAATAACTCTAAATTAGTCTGTGTCTTTAGCTGCCTTGCTAAATGCCCGTCTACCCCTTGACCGTCCCAGCACATGCACTGCCAGCAGTGGGCTTCATGCTAGGGCACGCAACCTTCCGCATCAAGAGGCTAAGGCATCTGCACAGGAGTATCTCTCTTCACAGACTCGTCTACTCATTCACACAACACAACCAGCGATACTCTGCACTATCACAGTCTTCGTGGGACCTAACACAATCCGAACGCAGAGATACTTCGAATGATAATCCCACAGAGTCAGGGGGTTTGGGTGTCGTTAGCAAGGACACGTGCGCGCTATCACCGCACTGCCTAACGTCCCGACTCCTAGCACCAACGGGTTTATTATTAAGATTATCATTGCTGAAGATCAAAGCTGAAGTTTATGCACATGTTTTTTTAGAGACAGATCTTCAGAAACAAAAAGACCTTTTCCTATCAGTGGAGTGTTTCTCGTGATGCTTTAAATTCAGTCAATCAGGTACCACAGTTACACGTAACATGATGGGTTTCGGGACTCTTTCGGTTGAGGGCAAACCCTCCTTGAGAATGGCTGATCCCAGAAATTTACTATTTTAATCATTAAAATAAAGTGCTTTTCTTGTAATCACGGTGATCTTGTTCAAATGCAATTCCTTCATACAGAACAGAAATTTGCTATTGTGCCATCAGCCTCTTACATCACATTTATGGAGCACAAGATGTAGTTTTTTGTCTGCTTCCTTTTAACCCTTTGGCACATGAAGTTGGAATTCCTCACCTCCACTGCCAAATGATTAAACGACAGTATTTCTTTCATAAAAATCTGATTCTACGCAGTGTGTACAATTTCAGAGCCTTGTTAAAATTTCCACATGGGAGAAAAGTGCATTATTCCCTTCAGCTTGTACAGTCCTTCCATATAGTACAAGATTAACTGCTCTAAGCCTGTTCTATCGAAGACGTAGCAGCATTTGCAAACATGACACATACAATCCTTATCTCTAAAAATAAATACTACCGCAGTATAACCAAAAAAACAACCAAAATAAAAAGACTGTTCAGAGTTAAACACCTGGAGAAAAAGCTAATTCACAACCTCAAAAGAAAAACGAGTTAGGCAAACACCTGTTTACCTTGGTGCACACATTTTGGTGAAAAGCAATACCATTATGCCTGTCTACATTCTTCAGCAATCAGAGGTGATGTATATCATGAAAGAAAAAGAAAAGCATGAGAAAGATGTTATCTGGTGCAAATTATAAGACCCCTTAAACTGCTGCTTTTATGCCTTCATTTCTTGCATGTATAATGTTCGATTCTCCATGATTGCACGTGAACCTGGAAGTTCTAAGTGGCAGGCTGGGTGAGCCCAGCCCTTCTGCTTCTTCTGTAGTATCCAACAGTAATTAAAAAATAATATATGTATATATATTTATATATATCAACAGTTTAAGTCCTTCTCGCAAACATTCCCCAAACAAATTCCAGCCAGATGTTAATGACAGAGACCTGCTTCAAGTAATGATATGCCTAACAAAAACCTTGCATATGTACATCACCACCCCTATGTTGCCTTGTTCTAACCAGCACAAACAGATGCAAGGAAAGGTTATAGACTAGTCTCTTTAGACTATTACATTTTTGATACATCTTCTCGAAGAAGATAAGCTGGACCAACATGTTTTTTGTTTAGCTTCCACTGTGAGGAAAAATAGATGACTACTTGTGCACAAGGTGTACATTGCTGAAGCCAAGTCATCTACCATCAGAGAAACCGTTAGTAACTTCTTGACGTTGCTATTATACTGAGACTGTGGGCAGCAGCAACAGCGGGAGAGCGTAGTAGAGAAATTCTCCTATTTCATGCAAACCAAAATGAATTTTAGGTAGGTTTGGGAAAGCAACTTGTTCAATTTGGAATGGTCTCTGAAAGTGCCCCTGCTATCTTAAATAGTCTCTAGTACTGGTGGTGATGTTCAGGAATCATTTTCAGTGATAAACCTAAGATGACAGTGAAGCAGCAGAACAAAAAAGTTATTCTCGTCCACTTGCAGAGTAGGAAAACTGGGGGAAATGCGGCCGCCTCTCATTGTCCATGCAGTCCATACCATCCTCGTCATCTGTATTAAGGGAGAAGTTCAAAATGTCATTCTTTTTGCAACAAAGTTTTATTATTCACCTGATACTCAGCACATTCTTTCAGGGTTCAATGCCGAGGTTAAAGGCTCAAGTTGAAGCCAGACTTTAGTCATGTAAGCTTATGCTTACACGGTAGAGTGATGCTCACTGGAAGGACATCCTTTGAGTAAGTCACCATCTATTTCAGGCTTGGTGGGTTGGTTGGACTGGTTTATTATGGCTATCACCTGAGAACTTCAATTATTACTACCCCTTCTAGGCTATTCAGAACATGCCAGCACATCTAGTTTCTGGTAGCACAAAAGCTGATGGCTGATCAAAGCAGCCAGCTTCATTGTTTCGTAGGATGAGTTCAGGAAATTATAAATCTTATTTCAATATTCCTCCATTTTGAAGGGAGTTAAAAGGAAAAACAGCTACAGAATGAACAGTTCATGCAGGTTCTATGGGTTTCAATTCTTACATATTATTTCTTAGTAAACTGTTTTTACAGTATTTACTGGGATCAGAGGAAACATGGACTAAGCCAAATTCATAAATATTTTTATTTACATAATTCCTGCGGTGCCAATGGAAACCAGGCACCAGATGTTGTCTAACTCTGAGAATTTGGATCTACATTCTCACACGGATTTTTGTGCTTATCCTTAAAGACTCCTAATGAAACTGTTATTCTAACAATGTATTTATATGCAACCCTTCAGAATTATGTATCTTTCGTATCTTTATACATTCTACATATAAAAACCTAGAGTTAATGCAGGTTGGAGAAATTGCTCTGATTAGGCCACCTGACTTCAACAATGCCTCCCAGATCTGTAACTTCAAGTACAATCTCCCTTTCACACTGTCAATTTAAATGAGGTTAATGAACAGAGCCTGTTTTGTTACCAGTTTGATTGCTGTAGATATAGTTTCAATATTCACTGAGCATGATTTCTAAAGCTTTGCTATCTGAATAACTGTTCTGAATGTTATAAAAATTATTTCTGTAACTATAAAAGATCTTTAGTTCAGCAGTAACTTTAACTTTCTGATACACAGGAACCAACCCGACCTAGAACACATTTCAATCCCCTCTTGCATAATCACAGCAGGCAGATATAATGCCATATTGTACTTAATACATTTACTTGTAGATTTTAAAAGAAAATACTTTAAAACCATTTCCTGTTGCAGTACTCAGAAAATGGAAACCCCTGTGGTCCTTGAGACACTGCAGCTCACTGAAAGTGGCGGCAGTGTTCCAGATCTACCTGGCACAAGAGAACTTCCACCTCTGTGCTGCCACTGATGCTACTTACCACAGCCTTGGGCAGTGCAGTGCTGCCAGCTCTCTGGGAGGGCTTCCCCCAGCAGCAGCGCTGCAGCTGATCTCTGCACTGCTGCTGGGCATCACCCCGCATTGTATTACTCTCAGGACTTGGGTGAGGTTGCAGCCCATGCCATGGTTCCTTCTGCAGCAGTCAGACCACCACCAGAAGCCAGGGTTGGTACTTTAGGGAGGTCGGTCACTTCCCTGCATGGGTACCGATCACCTGCTCTGGATTCAGCAAATGTAAAGCTGAAGTCTTGGCAGCCTATCACATATTTCCTATTGCTTCAGCCTTCGAGGGATGAATAGCCATTCTCATTGCACATGGGACGTTTCAAGAGATCAGGACTTTATGATATGGAGTCAACAGACTCCAAGTTAATCCAAATTTTAAAAAAGTTTGTTCAAATTACAAATATGACCGAATTCTTATCAAGATGAATGGGAGAAGAAAGGTGTATTTTTGTCACAGCAGGGAGACTTAAAATCACTTCAATGACTCTGTTTAAACACTGAAATGCAAAACCCAGAAAATACTCCAGATCTGTACACCAACAGAAAACTGCAGCTAAACCTGGGGATCCTAAAACACCAAAAGATAAGCCAGCTCTATGAAAGGGTAAACAACTTTAACTACAGCCTTTATTGTCCACCTTTGTGATCCTCCTTCCCCAGCCTCCAATAAAAAAAATAATAATAATAAAAAAAATCACTTATAAAGGAAATTCATCCAAGAAGTCAGCAGCGAGATTTTAACTGCTCTGCCTTGGTAAGGAACGATGTTAAGCTCCGGCTTAGCCGACTGGATCATGATTCTTGTGTATGTAGCAGAAGATGACAAAAATATAAACTATGGTGACATTACACTCACTCCAACAAGGAAACCGCAAGGCCCAGCGGAGCAGTTACATCTCTATTGGGAACATCTTTAAAAGCTCTGCTGAAGCACACGACCTTGACAGGAAATTCCATTTTCAGGTAACTGACACCTCCACTTTTTTATTTTACCCCTTTTGTCTTCTAAGCATTTTAAAACATGTCCAACTCACTGAACCTAGAACCCCCTGAAGCCACCAGCAGTGGCCAATGTCCTTAAAGCAGGGCCCATGCTCCAAGTACTTTGCTGAACTGGGACCTTGATGCCACCCAGCAAACATTTGAAGCTGGTGTTTTCTTTCATTTAAAATGACAACAAAACAAAAGAAAAACAAAACCACACCAAAAAAATGCCCCCCAAACTCAACCCAGAGTGATCTAATATTCTAACCTTTGTAATTACTCCATCTTTAAAAGAGCACTGTCACTGAGAGTTACTCTTACACGCTTCCATACAAAGATTTTTATTAGTAACAGTGAGGAGCTTTTCCATTCAAACAGAAAAACCCTTATGCAGTGCTTTATTAGGAGTTTATTATTTTTAAATGATGCTTATGTGTAATTTCTGACTTACATTTTTCAGGCGGTGTTATTGTAATAGTCTGAGCTGTAAATTCTTCATCAAAATACCTGGTGTCTGTCTCCGATGTCACTTGAGGTTTAAAAGGAGGTACAAGCTGAAAGGGACCAAGAAACAAAATTCAATTACTATACCTGAAACTAGCCAAATTAGTACCAGAAAAACGAGTTTGTTCTTTTTCCCTACACCCAGATCAAACAAGTAGAGTGGCTGTCGATAGGCAGCTAGTCTGTAACTTCTAGTAAGAGAAAGAAGCCATTAGAGTCAATCCCAAAAATACTAGTTCAAAATCTAACTAATAGCACAATATGACTGAATTCCAAGTATCACTTTCATGTGACTTGCAGATAAATTCAGCTGCATAGAGATAATTACCTAGAAACTCTTCAGGCCATCCTATTTACCTGCATAAGTGTCAGAGACAGGCACTTCTAGGTACTTCATCACAACTGGGTAGTATAAACAGCTAAGGCAAAAAGGACTACATAGTATAGAAAGCATGATACCTTCTCTTGTTCTTATTTAAGAGTTAAGGTCTAGATCTGAACTTGCCTTTAGAAGAAATTATGAATGTGAAAATAAGCTGTATATTTGAAAAAAGGCCAGTTCATGCTTCAGTGGATCAAATCCTGCCCACTGCTTGCACCGTACAGCGTGGTATTTCCCAACACCACATCACTAGTATTTCCTCACAGTTTGACTTCCTTGCCTCTCTTCTGAATCAGACTGGTTATATCCACCTTCTCCTCCAGAACAACCACCTACAGGCCAAAGATTTTAATGGGAAGGCATATTCAGTAGGGAATATCACACTGCCTTGTGCCAGTCCACCCCAATGCAGCAGTTTAGTATGTATGGTATTGCAAGTGGGGCGGGAGGGAAGAGGGGTATAGGAGGGGACAATGTTTTGGTTTGTACCTTGAGCCCTTTGGTGTTACCTCCTCACACGCAATTTAAAATACAAATACACACCCTGAAGATGGTGTATCAACTTCCCTTTCTGTGTAACAGGTTACATTATGGCTCACTGATATTATCAGAGCTTGCCTGTGGTTTACACGGGTTTCATGTTATCTCTCTCTGCTCCAAAACACTAACACCAAACAATTCGTGCATTTTCCCACAGCAGAGGAAGCGAAACTGCTGTTCCACCCCCTTCTGTCCCTAGCTCAGTGCACCAGACACAACTTACAATACACAATGCACGCTGCAGAAACTCTTCTTTTTGATGATAATTTTTTACAACAGTAAGAATTTTCCTTATTTTACTATGCTTAATGCACAAGATTTGTTGGGGTTTTGGTTTGGGGGTTTCTGACAGGCTGGAGAGATCTGCATGAACTGGTGAGTGTTAGAAGCAGCTCTGGATCACAGTGATAATCAAAGGAGGCTACACAATACACAAGTAGAGCCATTCAAACAGAAAACCCTCTAGCCTGCCCTAGGAGGACTAGACTGTCTAAGTATGTAGTGCTGCACAACCAGCCAAAGAAAGAAGGTTTTAATCAAGATGCTCTTCACAGCATATCTCTATCCAGAAAATTATTCATATTAATTCCTAATGCTTCATGGATTGGATGAGACATAAAAGATTAAAATGCAGTAAACTGCATAAACAGGGTACTTAAACAGCAAGATAAAAGGAAAATAAACAAAAGCTTGTGTAGGTGCATACACTCATAAAATCTCCCCATTTCTTTTCACCATTACAAATGCACCCACAAACTCCCATCGTTCCCAAATCCAGGGTTGAAAACTGCCACCCAGTTCTTCTCGTATTTTCATCTCACCCAGGTTGTACTACACTGACAGCTGGTATTGTGAAAGCCTCCTTAGCTGGAGAAAGATGCCTTCACTGTACTCTGCAATATGAGAACCACACCAGAACACCAGTGGTTCTTTGGACATGGGACCAGATTCTGTCACCATTTCTCCCAGGATACACCTACAAGTCCTTCAGCATTACCCTTCATTCAACAGTTTGACTCTCTTCTCCCTTTCAGTACATACTAAGACATTGAGTACATACTCTATTTCATCTGATCCAAACTTTCAGTAACAGTCCAAGCAATTATTAAGCAAAGATAAATCTATCACTTGCGTATACTTAACAGCACAATAAATATGATTAATACTTTTACAAAACTAAATTCAGTTTTTCCTTACATACTCCTGAATGGGAAAGATACCACAGCGGAGGGTGTTTTGAGCACTGTAGGATAAATTGCTTAAGGAGCTAACATACATAAACTCAACATCAGAATAATCTTCCAGGCATAAATCCAGTTACATTTAGCATCCGGAAACAAGTTGTTCTGGTTTAATGTACAAATTCCTGCACTTCTATGAAAACGATTTCTGTAAGTATTCGGCCATCCCATCAGTTCTGCACTATTAAAACAGATTTTCAGTGTCGTGCATCCCCCCAGCAAAGTGGCCACACAGTTCCTGCACACAAAGTTACTCCTGGGGAACATCCCACGCTGCTGTTTTTGTCACTTTTCTCTCTCAGAAAACACTCAGAAAGCCACAAGAAAAAGTATTACATGAAGCCAGGCAACGTACTCTACTCAAGGCCACGTGCCCACCACTACACATCCTTTTAAGAGACACTTTCACAGTTCTCAGCAACGAAAGTAAATATTAGATAAACTCAGTATGAAAGAAACCCAAGCCACCAAGTAACAGGTTCATGACAATTTTAGTGCCTCCTTGACTGCGACTGTTTTTCCAGATCAGAAAGGGGAAATGCCATTTCACAAGAATTAAAACTTTCATGTGAAAATAAAAGCTTAAGAAAAATGTGCTTGTTTTTCAAGTCAAGAACAAGGAGCGATGCCTTTCCAATAGCGCGACACAGAAGAAAGTAGAACAAACCACTCTTGCTCTGAAGTAAACCCAGAGACCTTTCATGCTACAACTACTACGTGAAGAAAGGGAGAAAACACGCACTCTGCAGTCTTTAATAACTGTAATTTAGGTCAAAGAAGTTAATTAAAAACAAATGCAAAGGCAGGGTAAGACCATAATATACAGCAACTTATGAATCTGCAATTGGGGAGAAGAAAGGCAAGGCACTAGATGGCAAGTTTCTCCCTCAAAAACTTACTGGCTAATTACTGGTATTCTCAGTAATAAACCACGGAACCCTGTGGTTTGATTTTTGTTTTGTTGGTTTGCTTGTGGAGTTTCTTGTCCACTGAAACAATGGGTCTCACTATGGGTTTAGATCACCTCCCTTGTGATTATGAAAATACTTCAAAAACTTTATTTTAGAAAGAGAAACACAGCTCTAAATGACTCTTAATAATTACAGTAATAATTTCACATATGAAAAGCACTATTAAAAGAAAATTCACCAATCACAGGTGATGGGATGAAATTGGTGCTCCAATTCGATGCTCAGTAACTAGGCTTAATAGAAAACTGTTTATTGATAACATCCAGGAAGTAAGTCAGCTGATGAAACTTCCAGCTATGGCAGAAGTTTGGCTGTCTGGGGCACTTAAGCAGGTAAAACACAGAACTCCAGGCTATAACCCAAGAAGGAGCCAGATGCAAATTTATGTCACTGGTGTTTTAGGATTCATCCATCTTACAGCAGTAACTTTCATATCCCAGACACTGAAGGCAGTGGGAAACTTCAGTGACTGTGGTAACAAACCATGCAGCCCTGTGGCTCCCCACAACAACTTACACTGGTGTTTATACAAGCTATAACCTCACATACACCAACCATCCCCTGCAGCCTATGGGAAAGAGGAAATGGTAGCTGAGATCAAGACACACAGATACAACTCAACAGAGAGCTGCTGAAGAGTGAGCTTAATTCTTTCCATATACTTTGCCTCCTTCCCTCACAGTATCATTTCCAACAGCCCAGCCATCAGGATAGCCAGAACAGGGGATTGTCCCTTTCTATCTGCTCTACCCCAGCTACACCAAACCAACTGTGGCTGTAGTCTTGTGGACATGCCACTCCAGACTCCTCATCTGCCACCTCATCCCTCTCCTTCAAGGAAATTCATTCTCTGACCTTCATATAATTGTTGGGACACTTGCAAGGCACACTCCCAGTTCTAATGGGAGAATCTCCAAGATAATTCTTGTCAAGGAACTGGCACACAGAGCTTGGGCATCACCTCCAGAAGAAAATTAGATAAATGCACTAACCAACCCTTTTCTAACAACCTTTCAGGCAAAGCAGAGCACAGAGTATGCAAGTGTACACAGAGGGATATGGTACTTCAACACCACATTCAGAAGACTGGGGACAGAACCATTCAAGACAGATTTTGTAAACCATGTCACCAACACACAAGGCCATGATAAAGAAACTTGGCAATCATCTTGCTGGAGGAGTGGCACCTTTGTTCATTAATTGTCAGGTTATATTGAAAAACAGAAAGTAAAATCTCCACAAATTTCATTTGTAATAAAACAGAAAGACAAATAAGGTAAAACTGCTGCAAACAGCCACTTAGACTGATACAAAACCTGAGTTTCCCTATACATCCCCAGGGTCATTTGAACTTTAATTACAAAGAACAAAACACCCAACATTAACTATAGCTCTGATGATCACAACATGAAGATGCCAGTGCCATTTCATGTTTGGTGCCACAAGGAAATGGCATCCAGCCACTACAGCCACAGCTTTTCTCCACTTCTGTCCTGAGAAGTGAGAAAGTCCAAGAGGAATGTCAGCATTGCAAGGCACACCCAATAACCTGCTCCAGAAGGAGCAAGATGAGCTTTTGCTAAGCACAGACCTTGTCTGTCTGTGAGAGAAGCATTGCTGCTCAGTCCCAGCTGCCGAGCCTTAGTATGGGACGATTTCCCTCCTCTAGTGGTCTGTGCAAATTCAGCCGGACCACTCTAGAATCAGACAGGGGACTGCACCTCCAGCACACATGATTTACTCAAAAGCACCAGAAATACAGATTTTCTGCATTCATATATTACACACACACATATACATGGATATGTATGTGTGCATACAAATAAAGAAATAAAAGTCTAAATTCTGTGTGAGTTAAGAGTTGATGTTCAAGACAAAAAGCATTTCACACCCATCTGTCAAGCTGAATCTGCCCC